CAGAGAGGCCTGAAAGGGGATTGGCTAAAGACAGAGAATTGAAGGTGATTGGAGGAAAGATACAAACACAAAGGGTGGGAAACGAAGGTTGACTGACAGGAGAGTGGTTGAGATCCGTTAGAAAAGATGGGGCGAGGATTGGCTGTGCAAATCAAGTCAGGGAACCTTCGAGAAAGAGGGGATCGAGGAATATAAACGGGGAAACACAAGGGGAGGGGGCGCTTAGAGAGAGGACTGCGCTGTGCTTAGAGACAGTGTTCGTGTCCACAATAAAGGCTCTTAATACATTGAATTGCATTTGTAGGTCGTCATTACACTATAAAAAAGGTCATTATCCAAAAACAAATCACCAATTATTTTACCTTCTAAAGCAGTGCTATCGACGAATGTGTGGAGGTTTTAATTATTATTGTTGTTTGTACGTGTCCACTACTGCAAACGCAGCATCATCAAAGAGCTTTCGGATTAGCGAACGCCACTCGTCAAATTAAGGGCGTTGTATATGGTTATGTCCATGAGACGTAGCACGTGCGTGTGTATGTGTGGGGAAAATGTGTGTTTGAATTTGTTGTGTGTATGTGTGTGGTTAAACCACTTGCTTCACCAACCTAAATATCACTCACCAGTCATGAGTGACATCTGAGCTGGTCTTAAACCTCCGCTTAGGCTAGGCTGGCTGCCTGAAATGAGTATCCGTTGCAGTTTGTAAATATCAGCAGTTGGCAGACAAAGATGTGGCCAGGTGTGATGCTAGCCACATCTTTGCGTGTGTGTGTGTGTACGTGTGTGCATGTGTCTTTGTGGGCAGCAGTAACGTCGCGGTTAGCGCTGCGAACCCGACAACCCGAGTTTCGAAACCAACTCAAGGCCAATACCAGTGACGATTATCTGAACCGGTCCTGCGCATCAACTAGGTCAACTCGGCCTCAAATGAGTAACTGGTGTGGTGTGTAAACATTGCCACTGGGGAGAAAAAGGCGGCCGGGTGTGGTACTGGCTACCCAGTTCTCCATGTGCCACGCCGGCCTTTATAGGGTGGTCGCTAACAGAATTTGCCCCAAAAGTTTATTTAGGCTACATTGGGGAGATATTTGTCCTTGTGGGCATCAAGTGATTTATTTTGTTGAATGGGGTGGCCACTTTAATGAAAGCCCATGATGGAGAGAAACAAAAAGCGCAGGGTTACTGCAAAGGTTACGGCAAACAAGCGAGGCACGGTATCTAACTTGAAACAGGCGCCGCAGGGGAAAATAAATCTGGAAAATCGCCAGCAGTTGCCAAGCTACCTGCATTGATTTGGGGGGGGGGGAGGGCCCGCCTACGTTGAAAACCTGTGCAGCTCTCATCTTGAGAAAGAAAAAAAACCAACTGCAACTAAAATCCAGCTGGCTCGTACAAATTACCATCTCCCGGACGCGTTCGAATACTTTGCGGCGCGGACTGATAGGGGCGCTGGTAATGTGGCGAGCATGGGAACACAGCGGGGCGTTTTGTTCCAGGGGGCCCAGTTAGCTCTGGCGTCGAGTTTATAAATTACCACGCCACGCTGGGCTTCCTGGGATCTCCTGCGCTCGTACAAAGGGGGCGGAGGGGGGGGGTGAACATTTGCGTACGTTGTGGCAGGATGAAAATCGCACAGACTTCAGCCGAATGCGTGATCTGCATTTTGCGTGGTTGGCTATGCGCCAGGTCATAGTGTGTGTGTGTGTGTGTATTGTGTTTAGCCGGATAGAGGGGGAGATAAATGGGCGAGGCATGGGCCAGAGAAGAGATAGACTGATGTGGTGCGGAAAGATATGGAGCCGATTTAGACTTGCAAATGACTGGTACCAGCAGTGTCAAGATCGTCCTCTGCGGAGTAGGAAGCTCGTAAAGGACGCTACTGGGTAGTTGGAGGCACTCCCTCTCAACAACATCGGGAGGCAGAGGAGTGATGCTCACAACAATGAGCAGTGCAACCGGGTAGATAAAATGCAGCAATTTGGCACAGGAGGGAGCACAGGTGGTGCATCTGCCGGTCATCTCAGTCAATACGTGGCACCTGGATATGTCCTGTGACCCCCTGCCAGCGAACCTCTGCGCTGTGAAATGATTCACGGGCACGGATAACATCAGTGGTCAGTGATATCTGAACTGGTCTTGGGCCTGTCCAACCAATTACCAACCAGCACTGAACAGCGTGGTAAATACCGGTCAAACAACAAGGGTGGTAAATTAAAACAATAAAAAAAATGCGTTAATTTACTCTCAGCATTGTTGACATGTTGATGCGTTGAGCCTGTAATTTATGATGTACGTACGGACAGTGCTCCCGAGGGGAAACAGGCCTGCATTTCAGTCGGCTCACCTCGGCTCACCTCATCACGGACATGCTCTCCGCGATTTTTGGCTATCCACTGAATCGCATCTGGAACTCTACGCGACTAATGCATCGGGATGCAGAGAAAAATAAAGTGGGGAGATAAAGTGATGAGATTAAGTAATGAGATGAAGATAAGTACTATTTATAAAATATCATTTAATACTTAAATATATTTAGATTATTTCCTTTATGTCCATTATCACCAATTTGCATTGTGTCATGATTAATTCGACGTATTTAATAGCTTATTTATGTACCTATTCATGGCACTTCATTAAAAAAAAATCTAGGTTTTCTGTAGGCCAATATCATTAGCCAGCGAAATGTTCTATTCACGAGCATCTCCGGGACGCATCCCCTTACGAATAACGAGGGAATACCGCGTAAAGGTCATCAATGAATTGATTGATGACTGACATGCCCTATTATAAGCGTGACTCGATTTGAATGTTATTGTGAAGCCATGGGCTGTGCTCCGGGCGTGAATCGGTCGCCCTCCTTCATCTGTTCTCCCGTCTAGAGCAAAACGACATTCGCGGTGAAACGAGCTGAAAGCACGTCGGAGGTCGAGAGGTCACACCTCCGATGAGTGCAGTTGGCTGCGTACGGTGCGAAAGAAGTTCAACATACGCGCGTGCATGCATCGTGGACACAATGCCTGCTGTGAATCACGACGCCGCATAATTTATCATAATAATGCCCTTTACCCAGTAGAGCCTCAGTAATGAGTCTCAGGATGCTTCGTCAGGAGGGTCCTGCTACATTTAGTTCACGGGGCAGAGCAGAAATGGGTTGCCACCTAAGGTAGCAAAATGTAAATCTTAGCAATGTATTCATTGGGCCAATAAGAGTGAATGATTTAAAGACGCCATCATTCACTGAAAATAAATTTGAACCACTAAACTCCAGTGCCACCTCGGGGTGGTATCGTTAATTTGAGATTTATAAATTAAAATTTATCGGAACGCAACCGTGGTGAGATGTTACCTGTCTCGCCTGGTGTGCCGGAGATCGTGGGTTCGATTCTGGTCCTGACGAATGTATATTTGGAGTTTGCGTGTCTCTCTCCCCGTTCCCGCGTGGACTTCCTCTCCGGGTCCTCCGGTTTTTCCCCTCCACTTTTCGAAAATGCATTTAGATTATTTGGCTGCTATACATTTCCACGTGAAAATCCACTTCGTTGAGCTATCATTTGTGGCCAGGTCGCTTCTGAAAAAGAGCTACATAGCTCAGTGGGGCCTTACCTGGTAAAAGTAAAACAAAATAATAATAGCTTATTCGTTTATAAATATGTGGTCTGGGCTTATGGGGAAAAAAATGTGGACTTTGACAAAGCATCATCGATGCGCGTGAAGAATCCCTAACCCGGCAAACACTCGCCACGCATACGGGGGCAGGGGGGGAGACAGGCAGGCGATCGTGCTGGTATGGGGGTGCCACGGCAAGGAAAGGGTTGGGAATCTCCGATGCATCGTCCGATCCATGCCCAGCGACGGGGGGGGGGGGGGGGGGGTGCGCGTTGGATTTACGGAGACGTCCGAAATGTGCTCGTACATCAGCGGGCGGGGGGCGTCCATTGGTCGGCGAATAAAGATGGACCGTTAATGCGCGTGCTCGCGACCGCACGACAACACAAAAAAGGGAGGGGGGGGGCAGTTTCTCCACGGCCCTCCCCCGGGGGAAATTTGTCAACGATGCCACCACGAGGGGGGGGAGGGGGCGGTGTACGTGGGGGGTGGCTCTCGGCACGTTGCTGGTCAGAGATTGACAGCGCACATCATGGCCCACCCACCGCCTCCCCCAGGCACAATAAATTTGGCACCACTTTGTGAGAAGTCAAGAGAAGTCGGTGGGTTGATTTACTGCCGAAACCTCCCCCCCCCCCGCCCCGCCATAGAAATGTGGAATTGTTTTTGCTACTTGCTCAGATACTCACGGCATTTCAGAGGGAGACACTCTCTAGCCCAAAAAGATGGCGTCTTGGGATAAGCCGCAGCTTACTGGCGATGTAGACTACCGAAAAATAGTGAGCATGGGATCAAAGAGGGTACCTGACCCGATTAAATGCCACTCCCCCCCCAGCCCCAACCTTTACTGACCCACGGTGACCAGCTCGGTGAAGCATGGTGCAACAATCCCCGTGACCGACAAAGCCGTGGGGAGGCCTTCGCCCAGCGGTGGATGGACACACGTCCATCAACAGCTGTAGACTTCAAACGAGACGCGCATAGCAGTTGACGTTTCGGGCAGGGGACCTTCTTCGTAGAAACATTCTGGACACTTAAGAGACGCTATGCCAAATAAGTACAGGGGTGGTCTCTTGGCGTGTCGTTGTGTAATTTGTGGATTTTTCATTTTAAAGCCGCGGTGTTGTTGACGAACCTGTTGTGTTTTTCGTTATTCGTGCTGCCAATGCAGCGTGTGTTACATCACGATTTTATGTCGGTAGAAAGGAATTTTTTAAATAAGTTTGATTGCATATGCATGCATACAGTATATCACAGATAAGTGTAACGCACGTTATGTACATGTGTACACTCGCCCCGCACTGCCTATTAAGGCTGTATCGCTATGTTTCAAAACGTCATCCCTTCAATGTTGATTTCTCACAAATCGGTACCAATTGTATCTGCCCCAGAGGGATGATGGGCTGAGACGGCTGCCGACGGAGGATTGAACACACAAACCTGCCAACTGTGAGTCGATCGCACTGCTCACAACACCACTCCCATGAACAATTATAACATCATCATCAACAATATCATCCCTCCTCGTCCAGGAAAACACAATTTATATACATAAGCCAAAGTATTGAATCTGTACGTCTATGAAAATACGATCAACAACAAATAAATATGTAAATATATGCGTCAAAGATACCGGAGGTAATCGTTGTGTGTAACTCACATCTCTTCGCAGACATCTAACCAGCGTGGAAGAGTAGGCCAAAAGCACGATGTAGAGCTCCCTCTAGCGGATACCCTTCTGCCAGCAGTGGCCAGAGCCGAGCACTTTCGGTTCTGCACATTCGCCTTTTCCAAAATAGCAATCATAATATATTCAACGGGGATGAAAAGGCAGAAACCGTCATTTATTTACCCTCACCCGAACGTTTGAATATCCTTTTCACGCACGAGGTCCTGAATAAAGATATGCACGTGTGCGCGTATGTTGATCTTCCTTCGCATCGTCGAACACGTGCGTAGACAGACGTGCCAATCGGAGGTGCGGAAAGATTCGACTGGAGGGCCGTCCGTGTGAGCTCAGGAGCGTGGCGCTGATATCCGCCATGCGAGCGTGTGCCAAATAAGCAATTTCACGCTCATTAGTGGAGCCATTACACGGGAAGCTTCGTGTTTATTAAGTCATGATTCATGAAAGTGATAAAAGTCTGCTATAATTAAGTCCCACGGGTATAATATGCAAAGTGGGTATAGATTAATATTTTTGCTTGCAATGTCTCAACGTGCATAGGAAATATATGTTACAAACAGAGGTGGGACAAAGTCATTGTTATGCAAGTCCAAGTCGAGTCTGAAGTCATCAAATTCATGACTCGAGTCTGACTCGAGTCCAAGTCACATGACTCGAGTCCACACCTCTGGTTACAAATCCTGTTACGTCGCAGAACCGGGAGAGATGGTGACGGCTTGGGGAGGCCATCATCCAGCAGTGGACTCATCATGGCCTGATAATTATGTCAATTACACAGACGAGTCAACGATTCACTCGTAAAATTAGTACCACTTTATAGTAAAGTTAACGTGAAGTCAACAGTGGTTGTCTTATGGATATACTGGCCTCGGCCACAGAAATGTGGAATTTCAACCATTGGCTCGAGGGCAGGTCAAAGGTGAGCATCGGTCCGTACTCGTTTGAGGAGAGTAACCAAATACTGAAAACTACAAATTTGTATTTTACCAGGTACGGCCCACTGAGCTATATAGCTATTTTTTAGAAGCAACCTGGCCTCAAATAATAGCTCAACGAAGTTGCTTATCGCGTGGAAATGTTATAGCAGCCTAATATTCCAAATGCATGTTTCTAAAGGTGGAGGGAAAAACCGGAAAACCCGGAGAAAATGTCACGCGACTCCAAATATACAACAGGCATCACGATCATGACCTTCTGCACACCAGGCGAGGTAGTTAACAACTCGCCACCGGTCTCCCGACACTACTAAGCCTGTGATTGAGGTCGGTTGACCATACTTCACCACACTGGCCAGTGAATGTGTCGGGCACGTCGAGAGGTGATCCCCACGTGATTATTTGGGACCGCCGCACGTGGCCATGGCCCAGCGGCTCTGCGAAGTGAAGCCCTCATAATCCGCGCACAGAGCCGGGCTAGCTCTGATTGGCTGAGCGAGGCAGCCAGCACTCCAGAGCCAACCGGTGTTGGCCCAACGTGATTGGCTGGCGGATTACAGTGGGGGGGGGGGGAAGGTGGGAGAACCCGGAAATGGTAACTGAAAAGGGGAAGCAGATTCTGGAGTGGGTTCGCGAATAAGAATTTAAGGAACGGAACAATCGAAGTTTTGGGCTCTTGCTTCCTGTCTCCCTCCGTGTTGTGCACAACAAACTAAGACCGAGTTTACGCTGCCCACATGTGCTGGATTCCTTTTCTGTGTGGCTCTTCAAATGGGAGACCCCCAAGGACTGGTCAATGCATCACTTGCAAATCTTGTTTGGCCGTGGCTGGGAGTCGAACTCTGGTGGCTGGGGTCACAGCACAGTGAATTCAGAGCTGCAGCGTTGTTCCATGGTGGTGAGATGTTATCTCCCTCACCCGGTACACGGGAGGTCGTGGGTTCGATCCCGACCCTGACGCCTGTATATTTGGAGTTTGCATGTTTTCCCTGTAGTCGCATGAACATTTCTCAACATTTAGAAACATGTGTTTCGAGTATTTGGCTGCTATGGATTTGCACGTGATAAGCCACTTCGTTGAGATATCAGTTGGGGCCAGGTCGCTTCAGGAAAAAAAAATCTATATTGCTCAGTCGGCATTACCTGGTAAAATACCCCAACATTTTTTAAACTTATTGATCTTCTAAGCCAGAAGTCCCACTGCTGCATGGGGTCGACTGCTCGGATTTTCTCTCTCCCTATGCTTCTTTTCTTTGTATCTTCTCTCATAACATTCACTGTCCTTACATAGAGATCCATATTCTTACAGAGACCCACATTCACTCTCCTCATATTGTGTTCGACCGCATCCTCTCATATCACCCTCGGTCTCCCTTCACTAGCTTCTGCCCGGAAACCAATGACATTTCCATAGCCCTTCTCATCTGAGTTTCTGTGTGAGTCTATGCTGTTTGTGTAAGTCTCAGGGTTTCTATGTGAGCCTGTGGATCTCTGTGAGCCAACATTGTTGAAATATGCATCTCTATGTGGGTCTACGGGTCCCATAGCCCTCATCATCGCACCATCGAAGCCTCCCCTCCCTGTCCTCGAGAAAATTCGGGACCTCTGCTCAGTCTCGAGCTTTCCGCACCTCGGATTCAGCACTGTTGGCTACGTACGGTGCGAAAGAAGTTCAACATACATATGCACAGCTTCTCCATTACTCCTCCTCTCCCTTGGAAGCATTTCCAACATCCATTTTAACATTCTTACATCTATCGTACCAACTACCTGTTAATATTGTTTCGTAAAAAAAACCGTACGTACACACACACACACACCGTATGGAACGAAAATTTGCGGTAAAATATAAAAATAGAGCAATGTGGACTAAGCTATCAGTTGTGCCAACAGTGAGGTCGCTGGCGAGAGGTGTTCACGGTTGGTAAATAGGGAGACCAAAAAATGTCTTTGCTTTTGAAAAGGGGCCCGTATTTACACAATTCCTCAAGTCAAATGGCAGGAGCTGGTTAAGCGGTAATGAACTCCCGGCGAGAAAATAAACACGGCTGAAGTCCTTCCCCACGCTGGGGGGGGGGGGGCACGGCGCGGGCCGCGCCTTTGGAAGGGATGGACGGGAACAAGACGGCGGGCGGTTGAACGGGGTGGGCCGTCTGAACTCTCTCGCGCGCCCACGTGGTCAGAACGTCAATTTCGAGTCACAAAAGAGACAAAGATCCCCCGTATAGGCGGAAACAAACTGTTGGGGCAAGTGCTGTTAGCGAGCACCTATGAAGGCCGGCACGGCACACGAGGGGGTGGGTGGGTCAGCACTACACCCGGCCGCCTTTGTCTCCCCTGTAGCGATGTTTAAACATCGCACAAGATACTCATTTGAGGCTGAGTCGACCTAGGGGAGGCCCAGGACCGGTTCAGATAATCGCCACGTGTGTTGGCCGTGAGCGGGAATCGAACACGGGTGGCCGGCTTTGTAGCGCAGCGCGCTAACCACTACACCACCGCTCCCCACAAACACACACACACAAAAACACTTTCTCTAAGCGACGAGAAAGAACAACACACGCAGAGAGGAGAATGCGTGGGTGTTTAGGGGTGTGGTGCTGGAAACAAATGTCAAATCACAGCGCGCAAAGGCGTGTGCTGTTGCTGCGAACAAATGGCAGGAGGGCGTGAGGCCCATCGACTCTCGCATGTCCGTCCCGTGACATTGCACTCGGCCTTGTGGAGGCCACCAGCGATCAAGAGCCGCACGTGTGGGTCGCGTTGCAAATCTTGACTTAAAGTTCATAATATAGGTTTTTGGGTCAGATCGCGTTATTTATTAATGTGTCGTAACCCTCCACCACCCGACACGGCCAAACAGTAAAAAAAATGTGTCACGTTTTTCAAAGGACAAAATAATTCACTTATTTAGCCCACCGGTGTGTTGAAGAGAGATTCAACAGCATTTAAAAATTTGAGTACGACGTTTCGCTGGTTATTACAATCAGCTTAATCGGGCAAGAATGGTGAAGCTCTCCTGTTGCTCCCGGTCTTAAATAGAGCAGCAGCAGGGTGACGTCATCATTTAATTCAATCTGGTGACTGCAGGAATTCATATTCTTTGGATCTTTGGGTAAAGTCACGTAGGTGGGTTATTTTCTTTGAACCTATCTACGGGACTTTACGGAAATATCCAGAGAATATGGTCGCGTTGCGGTTTAGAACAAACCAACTCTGGAGATTCTAGATTTGAAGCTTTCGTGACTGCAAGGATTCATTTTCTTGGGTTTTTTTCGGTAAAGTCACGTAGGTACATTTTTTTGAATTAAAATAAAATAAAAATCACGACGTTTCGGAGGCAACACAAGCCTCCGTCTTCAGGTGGAAACGTCACAGCACGCTCGCTGTATCAAGTAAAATCATTTAATTAAAATAATTTAAAATAATTTACTTGATACAGGGAGCGTGCTGTGACGTTTCCACCTGAAGACGGAGGCTTGTGTTGCCTCCGAAACGTCGTGATTTTTATTTTATTTTACTTTAAAATTTTTACCTACGTGACTTTACCGAAAAAACCCAAGAATACAACTCTGGAGAAACATGGAGGAAAGATGTGGCCATCCCGTTAGGCAGCAGTGAAAGAGAGGGCGAACTGTGGGGGCGGTTTTGTCCTCATTAGAAGCCATCAGCCATCAGTGCTTGCTCGCTGCCCTATGCCTCTGAGATGGCGGCTCTGGGAGAAGGCTGTTCTATTCTGCAGGAATTACTCTTAGGTTCTTTCGGTAAAGTCACGTATAAAGAGAAAATAATAAATTAAATACTAGCATACGACGTTTCGATTGCAA